CAAGTAAGGCTATAGGGTTCTTAGTATATAGTTGACCGATTGTTGTTAAGGAGTTTAGAGAATCTGTGATAATGACGGAAGAAGAATGGTTTGTACTTTTGATATGAATGAGGGCTTGTAATATTGCATATAATTCTGCTGTGTATATAGAAGTGGCTGGCATTAATTTAAATTGGGAAGAGGAATATGGAGTGACAAATGCTGCTCCTACGTCATTTGCAGATTTGGAGGCATCTGTATAAATGCAAAAGCTTTTCCCGTAAGTCTCGAGTTCCTTTAAACATGACTGTCGGATTACAGTGGGTGATGTATCTGATTTGTTATATTGGAGTAGCGTCGTATTGATTTCGGGAATCGTGATTAACCAGGGAGGTGGAGTTTTTACATTTGAAGGAAAGAGGTCAGAAATTTGGAGTTGTAGATCTTTTAAATTTCTTCGAACTCTTTCGTAGAATGGTGGATCGAACCTACTTGTGTTATAAGCTTCTAGGTAACGGTCCGTAAATGCATTTTGAAATACTGGGTGGAATTTGTTGCTAGCGACTGATGCTGCATACGAAAGGCATAAATAATTTCTTCGTAGATTAAGAGGTGGCTCTCCTGTGAGGCATTGGAGATTCTTAACTGGTGTGGTTCTAAATGCACCTATGGCAATGCCAAGTGCTGTGTTCTGAATGACTTCAAGTCGCTTGGTAACATGTTTTTTAGCGGAGGCATACACAATAGCCCCATAATCTATTTTTGATCTAACGAGTGACTTATAAATATTTAATAACGTGGTTTCGTCGGATCCCCATTTTTTATTTGATAATGTTTTCATTACATTTAATCCATTTTGGCAAGACTTTTTTATTTCTAAAATATGTTGTTTCCATGTTAGTTTTTGGTCTAATACCATTCCGAGAAAATTAATTTTTTCTGAGAATTTGAGCGGCTCGCCATACAGTTTTAAAGATGTTCTCTGTGGCCGGTGCCTTCTTGAGAAAAGCATGCATTTTGTTTTTAGTGGGGAGAATTGCACGCCTACTGACATTGACCATATCACTAATTTATAAATAGATTCTTGTAGGTGTTTTTGAATCATTCTCATATTCTTGCCCTTTGCAAATAGAACCAGATCGTCGGCATATAGTCTTCCCTTAACTAGCGGGGAGCAGTGATCCAGTATATCGTTGATAGCCACGAGAAAAAGAGTTGGGCTCATAACTGACCCCTGAGGTGTTCCGTTTTTCTGAATTTTTTTTGATGAAGTGGAATTATCGGCGCGAACAGAGAAAGCTCTTGACTGAAGAAAGTTTTCTATGAATCTTAGCATATTACCCCTGATTCCCCATTTGTGTAATTTTGATATAATATTAAATCTCCAAACCGTGTCGTATGCCTTGGTGATATCGAAGAATACTGCGATGGTCTCTTGATTATTTGCAAAACCTTCGTGTATCTCTGACTCTAAATCTACTAAGTTGTCTACGCATGATCTATTTTGACGGAAGCCGCTTTGCTGAGGAATCAAAAGTTTTTCTTGTTCTAAGTACCACATCAGTCTTTTGTTTATAATTTTTTCTAGAACTTTGCATGCTACATTAGTGAGTGATATAGGACGGTACGAGTCTATATTTGTTCTGTCTTTGTTGGGTTTGATCAGAGGTATTATAATGCTGTCTGACCATACAGATGGAAAAACCTGATTTGTCCAAATAAAATTGTACAATTTTAATAGCCAAGACCTTCCATTTTCTGGTAGGTTTAACAAAAAAATTAATGGTATACCGTCTGGACCTGGAGCGGAATTTTTACTTGACATTAGGGCATCCTTGAGTTCTTGCATTGTAATCGGGACATTAAGTATATTATACTCGTGAGAGTGGTACTCCAACTTTGTTTTCTCTGCGCTTTCTTTCTTAAGCTTAAAGTCCGGTGGATAGTTATCGTTACTGGAATTGGTCTCAAATTCACTGGCGAATAGTTCAGCAATTTCATTTCGGTCGGTTATAATTTTGTTATCTTTTGCTAGGAAAGGTATTTTGTTTGAACATTTTTTTCCAGATATGTTTCTCATATTTTGCCACACTTTACTTGCTGGAGTAAAACTATTTATACTTGAAATAAATTTTTGCCATGACGTTTTCCTGCATTTTTTAAGAATATATCTAGCTTCCGCTCGACGTCTTTTGTATTCTGTCATAGTTTCATTGGTTTTATGATGCTTAAACCTATTGAAAGCTCTTTTATATGTTTTTACGGCTTCTTTGCATTCTGAGGACCACCATGGTAAAGGTTTATGATATTTTAGTGTTTTTGTTTTTCCAATATGATTTTCTGCTGCTTTGTTGATTATTGATATGAAGGTATCTAGGTCTTTATCTATGTCATTAAGAGTAACATCTTTTATGTTGTTTATTTCATTTTGTACATATTTTGTAAAATTTTCCCAGTTTGCATTTTTAATATTCCATTTTGATGCAGTAGTAGCAGTACTGGAGTCTTTTTGTTGTGGAAACGCAATTTTAATGGGGTAGTGATCACTTCCGTATAGGTACGGAATAACGTCCCATTCTAGAGTTGGGGATAATGTTGGATCACATAACGATACATCAATGGCTGACTGACTACCCGTTTGAATATTAAACCTCGTGGGCCTACCATCGTTTAAAAGATTAAGATTTTGTGAGGTCATAATAACTTCCACTATCTTGCCTCTAGCGTTAGTTTTTGTTGAGCCCCATATACGGTTGTGTGAATTGAAATCGCCTAAAATAATACGAGGGCTGGGAATTTGTTGCAATAGGTTATCAAAATCTTCTTGGTGTATGGTTTGATCTGGAGGTAAATATATGTTGCAAATATTGATTTTTTGTTCCATGTTTACTGAAATAGCTACTGCTTCAAAGTTCTGTGTTGATATGTAATTGATGAGCTTCATATTTTTTATCGACGTAAATAGCAACCCCGCCACTAGCTATCTCAGCGTTTTGTCTGTGTTTGAAAAAATTTGTATATTCTTGAAACTTGAATGCGTGGTTGGAATCTTTAAAGTTGGTTTCTTGTAAACAAAGTATCAATGGGTTGATTTCAGAGATAATGTGCTTTAACATTTCGAAGCGACTGTAGAAGCCATTTACGTTCCATTGTATTATGGACGCCACTGTTTCTATTTATTATATGCTTTACGATGAATCGAAAGAGGTGTCGGATTCTTCTTCCAGAAGTATCTTCATCGCTACCGGGTCCATTTTTAGTTGTTTCATAATCTTACGTCTTATTCTCGTGCTTCTGTTTTTCATACTTCGATCGGTGTAATAAGGGTGAATTTTAGATAATAGTTTCAAAAAATCATCAACGTTCTCCGTATATGTTTTAACTAAGCTTATGGGATCTTTGTTTCCTTTAACATTTTCAAAGAAATCGACCATTTGGTCAAAACTGAGTTTTAACGATTCTTCTTCGAATATTCTCCTAGTTGGTTCCAGTAACGGCAATATTTCATTAGATTTTGGTTGGTGTGTTTTGGCCAAGGATGATTCTTCTTCAGTAATAGTTTTAGTTTTCTTCTTTCTCTGAGTAGTTGGTACTGCAAATGTAACTTCAGTTTGTGAGGATGGAGGAGGTGTTATTACTTCTGTAATACTACGTTTGGAACTTGTTTTATGTAAATATTCTGATTCCATTTGTTCTGAGGTGGGCAAGGAAATTTCTGTGGTTGGTTGTTTTTCTATTTCGTTATTATTATATTGTGTATTTGGTGCTATGTTATGGGTTAAAGGTTGGGAAGGTGAAGATTTATCATTTATTTCTTGGTCTGTCGTAATAGGGATTTTCATTGATAGGATTTCATTTCGAGTGGTAGGGATATTGGTATTGTTTGCAGGCTCTGGACTTGCTGTTAAGCAATTATTTGAGAAATGGCCTGTTTGGTTACACTTTGAACACAGCTGACTTTCATGAGACAAGAAAATGCGATATGATATATTATCGTGAGATAGTACTATCGAGTCTGGAACTGTATTGTTGGGAGGTGAGATATAGATGTAGCGTCGAAAACTAAGAATGTGTTTGTATTCAGGGTTGGTTGCGGCAATTCTAAGAAAATTTAAAGGAGATACTAAGTTATAGCCTTGTTCTCTGAGTTCTTATTCTATACAATCATGTGGGATAGATGGGCACACATTCGATAACAATAAACGTTGGCTTGGAGTAATAAATCTGCGAGTTTGAATTTGTTCTGAGTTTACTGTAATTATTCCATTATCAGTGTTCATGAATTCGTCGACCTTTGTCACACTGGATAGATAAACACATATTCTATTGTTAGATATCCTAGACGAGAAAAGTATATTTTTTGGATTAATTTTTCTTCCGATGGCTATAAGATACTCCTCTAGTTTTATTCCATTAAGGGAGTTGAAAACTATAGCTTGATTTTTTGATGGGAATTTTGGTTGGCTCATGGCTCTCGAATAACTATGTTGTTGATTGTTAGAGTTGGTGTTAGTAATATTAGGAGAAATATTTTGTAGTTCCATTATTTTTCAATAACTATATGTGCCCCCTCAGGCCGGACCTGCCTTGTAGCAGGTCCAACTGATAAGAGGCACGAAATATTACGATAATGTGAAAAACCTGTCTTTTGTTTTTATTTCTCACTTTTTAATAAACTGTTTATTTACTTTTAAAATAAAATAATATATGTCTTACTTTAGTTATAATGTTGCATGGAAATTTCACACACTTTATCACTACATAATTTTTGCTTAGAAAACTATTGATATTGATAAATTTTGATTATAACTTAGGTAAAAATTATGACCTATTTTAAACTTGTTAATATTAAAAATCGATTATCACTAATTACTATGATTGCTATACGTGTTAATCGTTCGGTGTTTCGAACGAGACTCCCAAATATTATGTTTCTATAGTGGGATTCCGATTATAGTTATGAAACAACTTAACAGGTTTTTTTTGCAATACCCTTGATTACTTACCGATTATTTTTTTAGGTCTAATTTTGTTCGTGGACGAAGCAGACGCATTCCTACGAAAACGATCATCAGAAAATATCTCAGAAGACCTAAGAGCTACCTTGAACGCGTTTCTCTACCGTACAGGTGAACAAAATTCCAAATTCATGTTGGTGTTAGCCTCGAATACGCCTGAACAGTTTGATTGGGCCGTTAATGATCGTCTCGATGAAATGGTTGAGTTTGACTTACCAGGTTTGGAGGAGAGAGAACGTCTGATAAGGTTATATTTTCAAAAATTTGTATTGGAACCAGCTACAGAAGGAATAAGGTAAATTTTTTAGGTTTAATCCAACACACAAAGATATTTATTCGAAAAGTTATTTTCTATATTTGTGTGGACAAATAGTATATTTAAAATCATAAAGCTGTAGGGTCTTAAAATTTTACATATTACGGTAGTCAGGGTGTAACAAACTTTAGGCCTGGGTGGATAGTGAGGATTAATGAAAATGCCCAGAAGTTAGGGTAGGGTAGCACAATAGTTGACTCAAGCGGACGTTTAGGCTTAGAACTAAACGAGAAATGTAGAATTTCAGGTCCAAGTATGTTCACTTTGCAAACCAGCACTCAGGTGTTTTGAAAGACACAATGGCAAGCTTTGGCCGATGATCTATAAATCTAGCATGGGGAATATCGAGATAAAAAAAATTTCAACGTATCAACTGAAAGGGAAGTGGACAAAAATTTGGTACTAAGTAAGAAGGAAAATAAAGGGCGCCACCTGATCTTTTTTCGAGGGACGAGGAAAACTTTATATTTTACATGAGAAGATTGGTTTAAGAAAGATACAAAAAAAATTGCAAATTTTGTAAACCTTAACCAAGAAACAAACACACTTACCTTATATGGTGGCTTTACATTCCTTTCAGAATTATTTTGTTGTTTCCCAAAAGAAAGATTGTGAGAGAAATTAAAAAATACAAATTTCTTACAAACAAATGTCCATTTTAAATTAATACATTTTTACATCTTTATCTAACGTTAAATATGAATATCTTTCGATAATATGTTAAAGCTGGTAAAAACATTTGTATTAAAGATGATCTCGATAAAAAAACTAAAAAAAGTAAAATTAAAAAGAAAGTTGCTGATGAAAAAAACCTTGATCATTATCATATCATGATACGCAGTTATGAGAATTTACGCTTCTAATAATATACATTAAAATTTTGTGTTGTACATAAAAAACAAAGGTTATTCAAAAATACTTAAAGAGTTATTAAGGCGGAAACGCATTAGAGAGTCGCGGACGTGACTCGTCGCGAACAAGACAGTCCGAGACTCGTACTTCATTATTCACACTTGGCAGTCGCGGACTCTTCGCAGTCTACGTAGAAGTTCACAGTTTTTCGATAATCACAGTGTTGTTCATATTGATTGAGTAACGTGAAAAGAAAAATGGCTTGTGAGAATTTGGAAGAATTATTTTTCTTTGCTGCTATATTAGAACAAGAAGAAAGGAAAATTTAAAAACCCAAGAGAAAATACTGGATACATCCAATCAATCTATCCCGGCCATTAGAAGACGAATTTTATACACAATTCGACAGATTATGTATACGAAATATGTTTTAAACAGTCGTTTCGAATGTCAGTTGAAAAATTTAGGTAACTGGAAAAACTGCTAGAGAAGGAATTCAATTACAAAATAAAAAATTTTCGGCGTTATATTCCCTCAACTGAAAGGTTGGCTGGGTGTCTAAGGTTAGTAGTAAAACAAAGATATATAGAGTACCAAAATTTATTTGCAAAAACATACTTGAGATAAAATGTGTAACAATAAAGTAAAATGGATTACCGGTTCTTACCCATACGGTTTGAGTTTGTTTAATAATAGCCAAGCGCTTTCGTTTATTGTCGAGAATACAAGACAAGTCAAAGTTGTGATGTGTTCGCGTCCCTGTGTATACGCGCACTATAGAGTCGAGGACTTGACAAATCGCGACGGAAGCGTTTTTAGACTCTCATCAAAGACTGAATCGAGTCCTCGTCGGGACTGTGACTCGTCCGCGACATACAAATGCGTTCATGAATATTAAAAATATCGTAAAGAATCTAAGCTGGACTAGAATGCGACAAGGAGAGCCGCGCCCGCGACTTTATAATGCGTTCCCGCTTTTATGGATATACCCTATAAAAAAACGAAGCACTTTACTGCACTAAATACATATGAAAAAAAAAAAAAATTAAAAACAAATCGGGTACATTTCCTTCATTCACCATAAGAAAATATTCAACATTGTGATTGAATCTGCTTTGGCAGGTTCTAATAAAGTTAAAAACTTGCGAGGAATTCTGCTTTCACCAACATTAAAGATAAAACTACATCACTTTAAAGACACTATTTCACTGCATACAAAACCAACTGTTATTATCACACAAAAATGACGCAATCAAAAATTCCTCCTACAACGATTCTCGCTAAGGGGATTGTTAAGTGCTTTATTTATTCTTTGCATAGTAGAAATATATGCCAATCATTGGTCTCTCCTTATTCAGAGCTCTGCGAATATTTTTAAATTTTTTATAAGCGGATCAGAGAAAAAACAAATTGAAGATCAAGACAATAATTAAATCTCGTTGAAACCGCATCCAACAATAATTATAAACAGATCCTTAAAATTGCTTTGTTTTATTCTAAACTACAGACTAGCACAAAACTAACTAGCCCTAGCGTGAATCAGTATTTTTTATACATATTGAATAATATTCGAGATAATCGTTGATGAATTTTAATTGGCACTTATATTTCTTTATATCCAGATTTAAGATGTGTTTTCCCAATGTCTTCATATGTCTTATTGAAGTTATTCTGTTGCAGTAGAGTTGGAAGACAAGACTATATTTGATGAGTATTTGGTAGATCTTATGAGAGAAGATATTTGAAAGTGCGTAGTTGGAAAAATTATCTGTATGGCTTTCTTAAGGGATTATGCTTATGGGAAATAAAAAAGGGAATGTTAGACTGTTGTCTATTATTTTTTACAGCCATCTGTGCTTATACTTTCGATAGATGAAAAAGTTAATGGTTGATAACTGGCTAGCATTATTAATTCTTAATTCATAATTATTTCTTACTGACGATTGACAATGGGAATGTTAAAATTTATTACTTTACGACATATATATTTTTAGCAATCTAAATAATCTTTATGTGTGTACAAATTTAAGGTTTTTCTTTGTGATTACCTTTTATAAATGAAAAAATTATTAAATCATCTTTTCAGGAGACTAAAAGTGGATAATTTCGACTATAGTGCATTGTGTAGCAAAATGGCAAGAATGACAGAAGGGATGTCAGGTAGAGAAATAGCAAAACTGGGTGTGTCATGGCAGGCAGCAGCTTATTCATCTGAAGATGGAGTGCTTACTGAAAAAATGGTATTGGATAAAGTTAAGGACCATGTTAAACAACATAGGCAAAAGGTAATATCCATTTTCATTTTAGATATAACATAATCTAATAATTATTTTTCGATTTTAAGGTGGAATGGCAATCCGAACAAGAAAGAAGAGAATCGAAGAGTATATATCACTCAGAAAAAGAAGATTCATATATTCCAGTCGGATTGAAAGTTCTAGAAAACAATCAATCTGTAGATCGGAAACCAATCAATTTATCTGTAGATCCGAAACCAATCAAAGTTAAGCTTGAAAGTACAAAACAAAAAGCATCAAGTGAAAGCAACGACAGTAAATTAGATATTGATAAAAATACTAAGCCAGACCGATAGGTTACTGTATAAGTAGTTGTTATATGGTGCATTAGGCTAATACCAAACGATTGTCTTTCTTGTTTATTCGTTTGTTGAATCCTAAAACACCAAAAGCCGAATGTTTTCTAACTATAATTACATGGATGTGGCTGACTGCTCAGTTAAGATACAAATTAGTCTAAATCATTTCATTGCTTTTTGTATTATCCATATACAATATCGACATAAAAGTGGGGTTGCTACGTGAAAAAAAAAAATACATTTTAGTAGGTTCGTTAAAAATTTTGTAGTGCTTAAAGTTAAACTACAAATCAGAACCATTAAATATTTTATTGTTAACATATCACCATGCAAATTGTATTGTGAAAATTTTACTGAATTTGTAATTAAATTACAAAAATTACAATAACTACTAACTTTTTAACTAAAACGGAATGTTACTGAACTGTTTTGACATCATAATACACAACTATTTCTTTAAACTTGAATAAGGATACACGTGATATAGGTATAGAAAAATAAAATCTACAAGGAAAATTTAATTCCTGTAGTTGGTTGTATACCATGAATCATAAAAACTTTTTTTTTAATCCTTTATACAAGGTATATACCTTTTCGGGTTACATCAGAGAACTACTAGATGTAAAAACCCTTTAAATGATGTTAACTTTGTTAATTAGTACATATTTGTTGTTAAATTTAAATGATGTAGTTTTAAACATATTCAACGACTCAAAGTTTTTATCGAGGACCCATAGAGATACCTTCTCTTCGTTTGGCAACCCCTGGGAGTCATTCGTTGTGATGATGTAAATATGTTCAAGACTTCAACATCATTTAAATTTAACAACAAATATGTATTAATTAACACGAAAGAGCAATTTAATAAATATATATATATATATATATATATATACATATATATATATATATATATATATATATATATATATATATATATATATATATATATATATCTTTTATAAAAGATTTTTTAAATAAAAGTTTTTATAGAAAAATAACTTACTCCATGATATTGGACCAGACGATCACCTTACAAAAGAGATTGTAATTTATCATTTATAGCATTCACGTTTTGGTTTTTTCGTCCAGAGTTTTTAAGGACTACCCTTCGTTTCAGTACTGTAAAAAATCTATCTACAAAAATACTGTTAAATCGATATAATTTGTTGGCAGTCTTTTTAACAAAAAATTGACAGTATTTTGTTGGGGATGTAAATTATATTCTTCAGTCAGCCATTTACCTTATTCATTCTGGCGTATCTTGTGGTAGCATGTTTAGATATAAGTTACTATTGTCTTCAAACTGAATACCTATCGGATAGAGTTGCATTTATTTTTCACTATTTTGACTGCTCTCGAACGTGTTGTATTTATTTTCGTAAATTTTAATATTAAAAAAACTGTAAAATTGTGATATTTTGAGTGCATCTCAGGGAAATTTTACCATTTTCTCTGCATTCAAATATTTATGATATTTTGTTATCTATTGTTAAAATAGAGAATTTTTATAAAAATAAAAAGTTTACTATTTTTTTTTTACTGTTTACTACCCCTTTTAGAATATTCCTGCTATACGCTAAGTATAAAATTTAAAAAAATATGGATTTTGTTTACTTTGAGAAAGTTAATTTATAGAACGTAAATAACATAAAAGGGGATCAACGTCATTTTTTTTTAATTATGGAGTAGAAAAACTCCGTCTATTGTTGAGTGGATCTCTTCAGTACAAGTGAAGCATCTGCCAGTCTCGAGCCTCTATAAAGGAGGAGGATTAAGCAAGGCTAACAACTTCTTCCCATAAAAATAATTTTGTTACATAATCTCCAGTTAAAAAATTCGGACTGAATTCAAAACGACGCTCTAGGTATCGAATTAAGGACAACGATGTAAAGTTTCTTAGAAAATAAGAACCGTAGAGCACCGGAGGACAGAAGAGGCTCCAAGATCATGTTCGAAACTACCAAATAGATGTTATAGTGGTACAAGGGATGCAATGGACGGGAACCTGTGTCATCCAGAAAAAAAGAACAGCATTTATTACATTTTTAACCTATACCCTTGTACTGACGAGTACGGTGTACTCCTAGTTGTAGTTTTTTACAGTAGATATGAACGTCCAGATTGGAAAAGGGACACGCTAAGAAGTGTATGTCGGTACACACAGTCTTCCAAGATGTAACCAACGATAATAGATTAAAATTGATAATTAATGTGGCAGTGGAAAACGTGTTTCATTACAAAAATATCCATAAACCAACCTTGACATCACTTTTTTTAGTTGTTGGCACTGTAACAATAATTTGTGTAGTGTACAATAATTATTGTTTTCTTCTGGCTTTTCAATATTTTTATTCCTATTTGTGGAATGTTTAGGTTTGGTATTGACTCGTGTTGTGACAGTTTATATAGTACAGGATATAACCGTTATCTGTTCACAATTCTTTTTATATGGATTTTCATATAGAAAAATATAGTAGATAGAAAATATCTTTAAGATCAAAATCTACCCCATGCCAATATGAGCTTTACCTCTTGAGGTGGTTACCAACCCAATCGGGGATGGTAAAAGTTTGTCAAAGAAAAACCATGGTAGTCGCTATAATAGCGAATTTTAAGACAAACATATTTTTAGAGTTTTTTTTTGAAAAGCCAATATTTTTGGAGTTATTTGTGACTAAAAGTTCACACATTATACGTCAAAACAGCATGTTTTTAAATGATTATTATTACCGTAAACTTAATATTAACCAAGTTATGGCTGTTCGGAAGTAGATTCTTATTCATCGAGTACAAAAATCCGAACATATGATATTGAATAGCTGAAAAACATGTAGTTTATTTTAAAATCTATAAAGTGATAAATATTAAATCCGTAAAATAGTTTCGAAACCAATTTAGATTTCTGCTTTTAATCTGAGCCTTCTAAAAATTGCAAGGCAAAACAGACGTTGATAAAGATGTTAATAGAGACATGGGGAATCTAAAATTTGCATTCCACGACATGTCTCCTCAACTAAGCAGAAATCCTTAGCGAATTGGTTTCTTGTACTCATACAGAGTAGATCCGAATACAATGAAAAAGACAGTCAAGATTTTTCACGTACAAAGCGTCTATCCGTTTATACGTATTTCGCCCTAATAGGGCTCATCAGAAGAGCTATTCATAGGCGTTCTCAACGTGAAAAATAAATCTTTTCTGTCTTTAAGAAGCAACACTAAAATGGCTTCGATATGGACGCAATAGCGACATCTGATAATAAATCCGTAAAATAGTTTCGAAACCAATCGAACTAGCTGTTCTGATGAGCCCTATTAGGGCGAAATACGTATAAACAGATACATAGACGCTTTGTACGTGAAATCAAATCTTGACTGTCTTTTTCATTTCATGATAAACATTAATTTTTTTCAAGCCCTTTGGTTTAAAAAGAGTTGCGCTAAAAGGGCTTAAAGATGGTGCTAAACTCATGCAAATACAATGTTTAAACAGTCATATCTCGTTAAATTTTATGTCTATAGATAAAAAATAAATAAAAAAAACAGTTGTTTTTTATATTCCAGGATTTTTATGTATCTTTTTCAGTTGTTGCGTTATTTTGAAACAAAGGGGATTTTTTGAGAAATTCCGAGAATAGTGTCTTCACTTTAAACTCAGACTTTATCAAAACTAAACCTTATAAACCAGTTAAATTTCCAAAATGTAATGTTTTTATAAAAATTAAGTAAATTGTAAGTGAATATGTTCTACCAGGGTGGTTTTGGCGGGAATAAATTTGTTACTTTTTGCGTCACAAAAAATAAAAGCGGATTTTTAAGTTTACGGTAACAATCAAAAACAAATCTCTTTGTTTTATAAGCTTTATTTTATACTCAAACAACTTTTCCGATAAAATCTAAACTTTTGGAGTTATTCGCGAAAAATCGTTTAAACCTTCTTTTTTGTCCAATAATTAAGAAAATATTGACTTTTCGAAAATACTCCAGATAAAACTTTTGTCTTAATATTCACTATTCTAGCTACTACCGTGTTTTTTTTATCACCTTTTTCCACCTCCGAGTTGGGGTTGTATCCACTCCCAGCGAGAGGTGAAATATACACTTGTCTGTGGAAACTCAGTAAATATTGAAATTTTAAATGGAATGTGTCAATCCTAAAGAAAGATAAGATTAATCAATTTATAACATCCATATAGATAAAAATAACAATTACACTTAAAATATAGTATCGACACTTATTAAAAAATATAAAACAATAATATATAACATGAAACATGACAACAAAATAACTACCTAACTATTTGTGCTTTTAATATGGTTCATTAATTTGTTTTTAAACATTTGTAAAGATGAACAATTTTTAACTGTTTGAGGAAGCTTATTAAAAAGATCAAAACCCTTAAACAACAAAGAGTTTCTTGAAGCCGTCTTTTTTGTTTTCACAATGTGTAAATTGCACTTACTTCGAGTAGGGTAATTGTGAATATCACAATTCCGTGTAATAAACTCACAAAAGTAAGCAGGAACCAAATTATTTAGAATTTTATAAATGAGCACCATTGTAAGGTAAAAGACCCTTTGTTGAACTAAATCCCACTGCAGCATGATAAGCATTGTTGCTATAGGTGCATATCTGTTTCCACCAGGAATGATTCTCATTCCACGATTTTGTAATTTTTGCAACTGGGCCGATTCATTTAAATTGAAGATAAAAATAACTGATGAGCAAAAATCGAAGTGTGGTTGAATAATTGCATTAAAAACTGCAATTTTAGTTGCAGTTGACAAATTTTTCGATATTCTTGAAAAAAAGTATAATTTTTTAGAAATCTATTTTGATATGTAATTAAAATGGTCATTAAAAGACAATAAATTATCCAACTGAAAACCAAGGTACTTAATTGTTGTGATGATTTCTATTTTGTCAATGTCAATTTGAAGATTAATAGTATTAATATCAATATTTCAGTATTTATATTTAGTTATTATTATCATAGCCTTTGTCTTTAACACATTTAACTTTAGTTTGTTGATCTTTAAGTATTTATTAACAGACTCCAATGCTGAATTCATTTTAGATACAACATTTTCTAAGTTTGAATCAAAACATGCAAGTAGTGTGTTTGCTGCATACAAATTAAAGAAATCACATTTAACAAACAAGTTTATATCATTTAAATACAATATAAACAAAAGGGGTCCTAAGACACTACCTTGAGGTACCCCAATATTAACACTAATTGCAGAAGAAGTAATATCATCAATCCTCACTTGTTGATTTCTATCCAATAAGTAATCTTTAAACCATTCAAGAACATTTCCTCCAATACTATAGCCTTCTAATTTAGTGAGAAGTATATTACGATCAATAGTTTTAAACGCTCTTTTTAAATCAAAGAATACTACTACTACATAATTATCATTGCCCAATTCAGACCTGAATTTACAAAGTGAAAGTTGCAGTGGAGTTTCACATGAATTCATTTTACGAAAACCTGACTGAGTATTCATTAAGATTTCATTTTTATCAATGCCGTCCATGACTTGATCATATACTACCAATTCTAATAATTTCTCAATGGGCAGAAGTAGATTTATAGGTCTAAATTCATCCGCCTTAATAGTATTATTAACTTTTGGTATTGGAACAACTGTACTGATTTTTAATAAATCTGGAATTTTTGATGATCTAGGATAAGTATTTATAAAATTTAAAATAACGTGACCACAAGTTACAAAAAACTCAT